TATATCTATGCGAAAACACGGTCGAATCCTAAGAAATTTATTACCAAAATGATCAGCGCAAAAAGCTATACAAACCCTGAAAAGCGTCAATCGATTTGGGCGTGGTCACCCGATGGTCCTGACGAGACCCCATGGATACACTCATATACATTAACTTTGGGATGGCACCATTTTTGATTACTAAACTCTTTCGCCATTCATTTCACATTATTATTTCTCAATAAAGTGTAAGTGCTGCTCGAGGTCGACAACAACCTAATTCTCACTCTGTCGTGCTTTCGATTGTCAGTCAAATCAATTAGTTAATGATGTTGTGGACCTCGAGAAGAATGAAACTATAGTGTATAAAGAAAACAATATATTTATTACAATATGGACCCAGGAAATAATATATTTAAATGAGTATGTAATTTTTCTAAAGATACACGCATCCTATTCACTAATTGTTGTGATCATAAATTTATCTGTTTCATATCTGAAAACAAAATGCTCAATGTGGGATGACGAGTTGTGTTGCATGTATCATATTGAAGCAGCCAAAAAGAGACAAGGAAAAATCACAACTAAGCATACATCAAACCCGAACGTTCGGATTCAGTCTGAAGTACAAGAATTATCATTTTATTAATAAAACTAACAAGTAGAAGTAAAGCAAAAGAAAGGATTTCATGGTTGACTATTATAGATCGACAGACAATGAAGTAAATGACCCAAAAAACTGAAAGACTGACTTACTAAGAAACGGCTAACGATGTTCGTAAATATCGAAATCTGAACTCGAACCGTTTGATCTGAATTCCGAACTGGAGTTGGGGCTTTCTGTATGCCTAATCACAACTAAAAAAAAACATTGTTGATCAAGAGTATCCTTTTTTTGTGGCGATCGAAAACGCTTGTTCTCTTAACTTTGAATGGATTATACAGGAATGATATCTTTTATTAGCTGTTCAATAGCATCTTACTCATTGGATTTTGGCATATATGTATTCCTTGAATTTATTTGAAGGCGAAATATTGAACTGTAAGATTTTTAACAGATTTTATTAGACTTTAAAAAATGTCAGAAAGTTTCACGAATTTTTCTTTTTTTATGACACTTTAAAACATATTTTCTACTGTTTGTCTATTGGATTTATTTGCTTGATAGAAATTTCTAAAGAATGGCAGTACGATGATAGTCAGCCTATATGCAGAACTCAATAGCGAGAACAACTCTGCGTCAAGTAGTCACTTTTCAGTCTAAACCTATAGTTTTGTGACCACTCTCTTGAAGATTATTAATCGTAAGAAAATATAAATTTACAAAGTTGTCTTTGGCAGCATTCTCAACGGCACTGATAGTCAACAAAATTGATTCTTCATCTTCTTCTTTTAATGAAGACTGAAAAACAGCCATTGTAATCCTTATAAACTATGATAAATATCCAAAAGCTTTGATAAAAGATTGACAGTAAAAGAACGTTCATTTTTCTCACGATAAAACTCAACGCTCATCAGTAATGGTCTTTGACAATATACTCTTAGTATTCGACATTGATTTTATGTTAATGCTCCTATAATCTGTATAATATCTCTAATTTTTATCGCATAATTCAACATTTGTTATAGAGGATATATTTCACAACATTTTAGCGATTAGTCTAATTTGATATCGTAAACGATTTTGGTATAAATTTGATAAAGTGATCATTTGACTTTATACTTGTTTCCTTTATTCTAATGTTAAAAGTTAGATATTGAAATTGCTATGACAAAATAATTTTTGAATGAATCTATTTTAAATAAGAACGGAAAAAATAGCATTTTCATGTTCAATAAGCACAACATTCGGAAATCAATATTAATTAAAATTCACAGTGAAAAAAAAAATCATGGGATGTTGAGTCTTTTCCTCGAATATCGTTAATTTAAGACAATAGTTTCACTACTTTATTGTGCTCTTGATATAATAACAAATTTTAAAATAAGAGAAAAAGAAAAAAGAAACGTCGGATTTTATATGCGCGTCTGATTCGAAAAGAAAAAAAATTGAGAAGTGAAAGAGCGGCAAAATGAAAACTAGCTAAAAAAAACTAAACCGATTGACATGAATTAAAATAAAGAACATGAGGAATCAAAAACAAAAGAAAGAAAAACAAGATATATAGAAAAGCGAATTATTGAACATAGAAACACATTCGTACAATTAATATAGAAATAGTTAATCTCGAATATTATTTCTTTTTCATCATGTTTGAAATTATAATAAGAATAAAAAAAGCACCGCACAATAGATATAATAGAAAACGGGTAAAACTAGGATGTTGGTATGTGGGCGTTGGAGGATGTGTGTGGGTGTGAGTGTGGCCGTCAGTCTTCTTCTCACTCATATCGATACTCACACCCACACCCGCAAAAACCTTGATTTAAACTTTCTATCGCTGTATTTTCTTCGAAAATGTATGCAAGTTCCACAAATAACTAGTAAACGCTGATTTTCAGGAAGCAGGTTTGAGCTCTAGGAAGTCGGATTATATCATTCGATAGAGCTCGTCAAGTCCTATTTGAAACAAGAATAGCAGTGTTGAAACAAGTTCCTGGACGAATGCCAGAAGGAAATACTCAAATCAATAGATAACTTTACCCACGTTTATTAATAATAAAAATCGTACAGTAATTTGAGCAACGTAACTACATCATGCGTCGGAGTTAGGCAGAGTTTCTCTTAATGTTTAACAAAGTGTATGCTAATTTCAAAAATAGTTCACTAATGATCATTGTAAATTGTTTTGAGCAAGCATTTCATAATAAGCTCCACGTCGTTGTATCAATTCTGTATGAGTACTACTTTCCACTATATGTCCTCCATCAAGTACACAAATCAAATCACATGAACGAATAGTTGAAAGACGATGAGCAACAATGAGTGATGTTCGACAAGGATCTTCTGTTTGAGCTTGTTCAAGAGCTTCTTGTACAAGCTATAATTGAAAAATGACGATGAAGCTTTAATCGATGAATAGAAAAAAAAAACAAGCTTACTTGTCCATTGTGTGAATCCATGGCACTTGTAGCTTCATCTAAGAGCAATACTTTAGGTCGACGAAGAAGAACTCGAGCAATAGCAATATGTTGCTTTTCACCACCTGATAGAAAACTACCTTTCAACCCTACTTTTGTTTCATAACCCTAAAATAAATATCATACAATAGTAATGGATACATTATATAATTTTCTATTATTTAACCTGAGACAATTGGTCAATAAATTCATGAATATTAGCTCTACTTGCTGCATTAATAATGTCTTCTATTGGAACATTTTCTAAGCCATATGCTATATTTTCAGCAATTGCTAAATCGAACAAAATTGGTTCTTGACTAACAAGACCAAAACGAGAACGAACCCATTGTAGATTTAGTAGTCGAATATCAATGCCATCAAGAAACTAGATTGAGTGGACAAATTTTATAGAATTACTTCAGCTATAAGTTGACGAAATACTAACTAGTTGACCACTTGTAACATCATAGAATCGTTCCAGCAGTTGAATAATTATTGATTTTCCGCATCCCGATGTACCTGTACGGATTATATTACATAATTAACATTTAATTAAAAGAAACATTTAATTAAAAGAAACATTTAATTCAAACATACCAACAAGAGCCACACGTTGACCTTATCAGTGACTAAAAATTTTTAATACAATGATGAAATTGCAACCTTTTTCACTTACTTGGCTTGATATTCAATTGAAATTTACTAAGAATAATATATGTTGGCCGAGTTGGTATGTTTGAATTAA